ACAAACAAAAGCAGCAGACTTTTAAGTGCAGTTTTGAAGATAGAAATTGGACCTTATTTGACCTTGAAATGGTCAGAAATCCAAAGTAATGTGATAGTTAAAATTCCCTTAAACTATTCTCTATATGCTGTCAATAAAAACAATGGAAGTAAGAAACATGTTTTAAATAGCTCTATATAGGATTATTATCACTTTGACCTTTCAGATCACTCTGTTGATGTTAAAAAGTCAGAGGTCAAGTGTGACATGATATCTTAAATCTTTATGTGGTATTTTCTATATGTTGACAGTACATGCCACAGTTGTAATATTTAATGTTTCTAGGTTATAGGGCTTTCCACTAATATACCATTAAGTACACTTTGAAGACCTTGGTGGATGTAACCCAAATTTTAATGGGTGGTTAACATGACAGAAGGACACAAACACAATTGCAGAGGTTAAAAAAACGTCAGCTGGTTCTCAGGGATTCAGGTGGAAGCTTTTTTAAGATTTGATGAATTTCATATTGAATGACTCATATTATTATTGTTATTAAAACTCAGTACTGTGAAACGCTTAGTCAGTTCCCAGTCTTTCCTCCCAGTCTTTCCAGGGCAGGATGATCCAAATCCCTGCCATCAACAGGTTTCTGCAGCCAGGCAGTAAGAGGAAGCCACCGCCGGATACAAAACTATGCAAAGGCTATCATGGAAGTCTCCCAGTCCAAATTACCATCTCAGTAAAATCTGTTCCTTATCATGCAGCATGTTTGTGATCATTTATATCTGCAGGCCTACGTGTCGATAAATGCTGCACTAACAGGATAGATGAGAAGGTATGTGAGCTTTTCTAACAATGTGAACTAAATAAATGTTGATATTAAAGGACTCATTCAGATGCTTGGTGGATCAAAATCTAACAGTCCTTTTCTGTGTTTTGACATCATCCCCAACTGTCTCAAATGCAGCCCCAAACTGTGAGACCACCTTGTGTTACAGATGGTTCTAGACCAAGGGTGGGCAACTTCAGGCCTCAAGTGCCAGTGCCCTGCAGGTTTTAAATGTGTCCTTGATCCAACACAGCTGATCCAAATGGCTAAATGACCTCCCCAACATATCTTGAAGTTCTCCAGAGGCCTGGTAATGAACTAATCATTCGATTCAGGTGTGTTGAAACAGGGTAATGGTAAATAGTAAATGGCCTGTATTTATATAGCGCTTTACTAGTCCCTAAGGACCCCAAAGCGCTTTACATATCCAGTCATCCACCCATTCACACACACATTCACACACTGGTGATGGCAGCTACATTGTAGCCACAGCCACCCTGGGGCGCACTGACAGAGGCGAGGCTGCCGGACACTGGCGCCACCGGGCCCTCTGACCACCACCGCAACGGGTGAAGTGTCTTGCCCAAGGACACAACGACCGAGACTGTCCAAGCCGGGGCTCGAACCGCCAACCTTCCGATTACAAGGCGAACTCCCAACTCTTGAGCCACGATCGCCCGGGTGAGCTCTAAAACCATTATGTGCACTTATATGAACATCTGAAGAAGTGTCGCTGGTTGTTTAAAGACACATTTTGATTGAATTTTGTCTTCTAACACAACACTTTTTAGTTTGTTGCCTCAGAGCAATGTTATGCAGTTAGGCTGCCTTTCTTAGGGCAGCAACGCTAAAGCAGTGCTTCTGAACTCTGATCCTGGTGACTCTGTTTTAGGTTTGTTGAAAGGTTTTTATGGGGATAACTGCAGGGACTTGGGTCACAGGGAGAACCTCTGGGGAAATGATTTGAGAGCACTGAGTGATACATAAGCAGCCAAACCAACTGAACTTGTACCAAATTGCAGGAAATAGGCACAAGAACTTTTTATGGGAGGAAAAAATGTGATTGGACAGTTGGGGGTCATTCCCTCAGTGAGGAAAGTGAACTAGATGAAAGTGAGAATTAGGTTTGAGGAACAGTTAGGAGATCAAGGGTCAGTTAAAGGACACACATGTTCATGTACAAGTGTGTGGGTAACCAATAGTGTGTGTGTATATGAATGATGATGTGTGCCTGTGTTGGGAGCTGGAAGGGGGCTTTATGAAGGGAGCTGGAAGGTACCGGGATGGTAGTCCAAAAGGCAAATGACAGAAATGACACCCAGCTCTGTTTTATAAAGTTCCACACATTTAAATTCATTTGCAATAAAGAGTTATCTTATCTTAAACACACACAAACATGCAATATCACATAAAGACCAGCCCAAGCATGGATGAGTGCACACACAAATACACTCAGTTATTTGTTTGTTGGATTAAATGCTTTTATGAAAATTGAATAGATAGATAAAGTAAAAGTGCCACAGGTGCATAGTGAGGCCCTCATACTGTATATTTAACATATACAACAGTGATTAAAAAAACAATAACAAAACAAATAACCTTTTAAATAAGTAGAAATTATTAATAAAATGATTAAACTTTTAAGAAAAAAAGATCATAAAAAGTTTGTTTTTTCAACAAAAACTAAAAAAGGAAGGCAGACTGCCACGTGCAGCGCCGCATTTGGATGTGTCTGAAGCTTGGAGCTTGACTTCCCTACGTTTCTCCTACAAATGGGCCTTGAGCTTGTTTGGAGGTTCTAGCAGGGGAGCGCAGCTACTGGTATACCGATGGATGGTCGTCCGCCGGGGGGGGACATCGTCCGCTGCCACCGAGCGCTGGGCGTCGGGAGGGACACACATGGACCGGTGAGGGAGGAAGGGGACACCCGCCTAGCCAGCCAGATCAGCCGAATCAACCCTAGCGATCAATGGGGTGACAGATGTCGCAGCCAGATCGCCCTCACATCCAGAAACGCTCGGTCGTTTAGCATATTTTATAGCCCTGCATAACAAACCTGTTCACAATGAGGGTTTAAAGACTCAGAGTCCTGGTCGGGATCCGTACAGTTTGTCTGGTTCATCTTATAAATAGAAGCTGCATCGGTAAAATTATTTTAAACAGTAAAACAGAAAACTGTATCTGTTTTACCCATGATGGTTAGCGACAAAATGCAAATAAGCATGCTTGCATTGGCTGAAGCTGCCCAATCAGCGCCTTCACGCATTTTCCCCGCCTACTCCACCCCTTCAACAACCCTGAGCGCTGTGAATGTTACGTAAGATTAACTTTTACTTCCACTCGTTTGCATTTCTGCGTAGAGGTTGAGTGCGCACAGGTATGAAAACTACACACGCAGGGGAACAGCTTCCACATTTATGCAGCTGCTTGCGAATTTACTGTGATTTCACTTTGCTTCACAGATTTTAGGCCCTGAAAAACAAAAAGAAAACACCGACAACAGCCATGTCCGAAAAACCTGTGGTGTACTATTTTAACGGGAGAGGGAAGATGGAGTCAATCCGCTGGCTTTTAACTGTTGCAGAAGTCGAGGTAAGTGAAGGAGGTGTGAGTTTTTGAAGAACTGCAGGCTTTTGTGCAAATCTGATTTGAAATACTTTCTTTGCAGTTCGATGAAGTGCTTCTGACAACTCGGGAGCAGTATGAAAAACTCCTTGATGGTGAGATGGGTGCATGCAGGGAATGCAAGAGATAGGATTATTCTGGGTAAACATTAAACTAAAGGTTCAAACAAGGAAGGTTAAAAGTTTTGGGTTTTTTTTTTTAATCTGTTAAATCGTTTAAAATTGAACTCGTGACTGTGGGTGGAGTTTTTGTGGTTTGCCTCCAAGTCATGCTTTAACTCCCCCTCCCATCCACCCCATGGTCTTAGAGCCACGTTATGTAATCTAGATTGAGACAGCAGCTTGTATGCAAACATCTCTTAATATCTTCTCATCTACAGTCAAAGATGCACGTTAAAACAAATTGTGTTGGTCTTTTCCACTGGGAGTGCAAACCTGCTTTACCTGCTGCTGTTGTGCTTGCTCCAAAGATGGGGCGCTCATGTTTCAACAGGTCCCTTTGGTGGAAATGGATGGCATGAAGCTCATTCAGACAAAAGCAATCCTGAATTACATCGCAGAGAAGTACAATCTGCATGCAAAGGATCCCAAAGAACGAGTCATGTATGGTCCTTAAAAAAAAAAGTGTAATAAAGTTTTTGTCTTACATCATAGCTGTATTTAAATAGGTTATTATGCTTTCCTTCAGGATCAACATGTATTCTGAGGGATTGACAGACCTCATGGAAATGATTATGATCCTCCCCTTCACCCCAGATCCCAAACCCAAATTGGACAACATTCAAAGCAAAGCAAAGGAGCGCTACCTTCCTGTGTATGAAAAGGTAAAATAACTGATTGTTTGGTTTAAAAACCTGAGTTTCTGCTGATCATTGCTAAAATAGGTGTCATAAAATAGGCTCTGACTGGACCCGTGTACCTGGTGGGAGGTAAACTAAGCCTTGCTGATGTGCTGCTTCTTGAATGCACCCTGATGCTGGAGGAGAAATTTCCAGACATTTTGAAAGACTTCCCCAATGTCAAGGTAAACGTGTTTCAACAAAAAAATAAATCAACAACAAGTTCAATGAGAAAGCCAAAGCCCAGTGCTGTGAAACGCTCATCTTTCTGTTATTCCTTCCAGTCCTTTCAGGGCAGGATGACACAAATCCCCGCCATCAGCAGGTTTCTGCAGCCGGGCAGCAAGAGGAAGCCGCCGCCAGATGAAAAATACTTGAAGAATGTTGTGGAAGTCTTAAACCTCAAGTTGCCACTTTAAGAAAAACGCTACAAAAGATCTGTTACATTCCTCATTAGGCAGCGTGATTATGATCAGTTACATCAAAAATCAGTTACATCTAAAATCTTAATTAGTTTAAAGGACAAACAACACAATAAGAGTTAAGAGGCAGATAATCATTTACCAGCCTCTTAACTCTTATTGTTAAGAGGCAAGTAAATACGTGAAGATAGACGAGGCACCAACACAACAACATGGAAAGAACTTCTGTAATCTTCTTTAGCAATAAATGCATTTGACAAAAACACTCGAAGCTGCTGTTTTTCTTCTAGATAAAACACAACAGTTTTTAATGAATTAAACTTGTTTTAATTTGCTGTTATTAGAAAAAAATCACAAAAACTCTTTCCCCATCATAGACGGACAAGAATACAAATGAAAATGCTTCAACTTGTTCTTTTTCTCAAGTTCTAGAAATAAATCCGAGCCCTAACAGCACCCAGAGCTCACAGTCGTCTCCTGTAGTGTGGGTTAAGAAATCATGGAAGTTCCCATTCATACACTTGCTCATATGCATGTATTAAAAAATAATACTGCAGTAAAATTTGATTTAGTCGGCTTAGTGGGAATGTTTCCTGTTTCCAGGGTAAAGGTTGATGTTCTCCCGGTCAGACGATCAGAAGTAAGAGGCGAAACACCATCAACAAGCTGTAAGACAGACAAAAGCAACTGCATCAGCGAGTTTAACAAATAAATGTCCCAATCCCTGATTTGTGCAACAATTTGTACTGTCTGGTAGCACGTCTGACTCTGACCTTAGCCCTGTCATTATTCCAGCTGGCATTAATTTCCCAGAGTTCTTGTATCTCATTCCCATGATGACTGCGAGAACTCCCGAGGACACTGAAAGAAAGAAAACACCCTGTTATGACACTAGCTGGACACTGAACCTCTACACTCTTGATTGTAGCCGGGCTGCATATAGAGAGCCATACTCACGCAGTGACACCTTGATGTCCTTTGGGTCACTCGTTATGTTGTAGGCACCGAAAGCGGATAATCCGCCAAAAACTAGACCAGCCATCAGGGACATCACGCTGCCTGCGGGGAAACGCAAAAATCAATCAGGTTTGATTTCATTTCCAACACTTTAATATTTAGTTGAGCTTTATGCACAGCTGTGGTCAGAATCTGAATCAGAAATACTTTATTAATCCCAAAGGAAATTATGCTCCTCAACCTTTTCTCTTGTATCCCATAAATCCTCCAAAAGCAATGGCTGCAGCATAGCTGAAGCCAATCCAGTCCAACGCCATCGTAAAGCTGAAAACCAAAAAGCAGTGCAGGGTGTCAGGTGGTTAAAAGACACAACTCAGGACACTTATTCAGCTTTAATCTTTACCAAGCATGCGCTCCCCAAAAGAGGTGGGTGGATAAATTTAATTATCGACAGTATCGATATCGGATCGATACTAACATGACAGGATCGATACTTTGTTTCTATCCTCTAAGTTCAGTGTATAGCCACTGATGTGTGTTATTATTTTTTGTTTTTTGATTTGTAAATTGATGATGATTCACCTCATTAGTCATGACATAAGTTAAAAATATCGGTATTGCTATCTACTGCATCCACTTGGTTTTGGATAAATACGCAATTTTGCAGGCACTGCACTGCTCCCAAACTATTCTTCATAATTCTTGGGTTTCGACATATGTGTAATCTAATCATATCTACCCACAATAAGATCTCCGGATGTTGCTGTGAGCCTCTGGGATGATTCAACTACAGAAACAATCGCAGCACAAAGCTAAAGACGTGCACATGAACGCCTATGCTGGCTACTTTCTTTAAACTGTTGTTAAAACGACTACGTATTGGTGAAGCTCACATGAATTGTTACTGTTGTATGAATCGTGTTGCTGCATATTACATACCTGGAGTCCAGACAAGTGAGCAGCAGCAGCAGCCACAACCTTTGGTCCGAAATTGCGCTTCCTCGTTGACTGGCCGTGGAGATACGTAGAAATGCGTAAATCCCGCGTCATCAGGGGTTGTGAAGCGCGTCTCTCCCGCCGCCATCTTTCTCAGGGGTTGTGGCCACAGTTATATATCGTATTTCTATGCACAGCTCCCGAATGTTATTGTGTTTATTTATTTTAACGTTATCTATTCATAACGTTTCACACGTTACCCAAGCTGTTTTCTGTACCAATACGAAGCCAGATTCTAATTTCGGTTAATTTTTAGGTCCAGGTAATTTTTATTGGTGAAAGAGAAAAAATGATTTGTTAAAAATGTTGTTGCTCAGGTAGAAAACTCGTGGACGGAAAGTAGAAGCGGATCATCTCCCTCTAACCCTAGCATCCACCTCTGTCACACCAACCATCTTCCATCAACCCTCTCTGTGGTCCTCTTCTTTTCCTCCTGACTGGCCTGACTCCTGACTTCATCCTTCCACCATCCTTTCTCCGGTAAATCTACTATCCCTCCACTGCAAATCTAATCCTGCCCATTCTGGTCACTCCAGGATAATAATAATAAAAAAAACGTCCCCTATCTCTTCCTGTCTGCTTGTTAATAAGAAGACTTTGAAAGTACAAAAACATGACTATACACATGTTTGTCTGTTTTCCATTTTATTCATTTACTTATTTTTAGATTCTTTGGTAAAGACTAATTTTAAAGGGGGAACTTGTCAGTATTTACCTTTCCTGTTCATCTTTGAAGACTTAGTGTCAAATTAAATTTTTACATAAACATTAACAATTTGATATATAAGCGCACTCAACCCTATCATTTAAAATAAATACCTTATTACATTAATTATCCTGAACAACTTACTTATGTCCAGCTGTCCATACAGGTTCAACCTACAGGCAGAGCAAATGAAACCGCTGGAAAGTTAAAAATCCTGACTTCAGGAGGTGCGGCTCTCCCGGACCAACATGGCTGCTGTCTTGAGTACTTCCAAACAAAAACCAGAAGCGACCCCTAGCGGTAACCTCGAGCTAATATTTTGACAACTTTCCCTATCTCTGACCCATTTCTGAGTTTCTAGTGGCAAGTGACTTCTCTGAACTACTATGGCTTTTCACACTTCTAAAAGTAGCCCTTCAGGACTCTATTTCTTAAAACTGGAGACACAAAGCATATTACAAATGGTAAGTGGACTGGTGCTTGTATAGTGCTTTTTTTCCTTTTCTTTGTTAACTTTACTTGAGCACTCAATGTGCTTTATACAACATGCCTCATTCACCTATTCACACACATTCATACAAAAGATTTTTTTTCCTACACCTCAGTCTTTTAATCTAACATTTAAGCACAAAAAAGAAACATAAAATTCAAGATCTGCAATATGATATAAAATATATCTCCCAAAGAAGAGCCCCACATGTGTCTCCTTCACTGCATTGAGCTACAGAGTCAGGTGTGCTTAATTTTAGGTCTTTCTGTAAATTATTCCATGCTGTTCTCCTCAGATCTGTCAGAACTCCATGCACATCAAAAAGCAAAAGATGGTCTCTCCCTGCTTTAGCCCAGAAGATGCAGCGTTCATTTTCTCCAAAAATGGTTTCACATTTTGTTTCATCATATTTCCACTTTGAATGGGTTCATTTTGAATGAGCTTTGGCACAGAGTTGTGTTCATTGATAATGGTTTCTGACAGTGCTCTTGAGCCCATGCAGTGATTTCCACGACAGATTCGTTCTAGGTTTTTATACAGTGCCACCATTGGGCCTTGTACCTTGTCCCCTGTGCAGAGATTTCTCTAGATTCCCAGAATCTCTATATGATATTATGTAATATAGATGATGAGATATTCGAGCCAGGTCTTCCCAATTTATGTTAAAAAATAGATATTCAAAGTATTTCTTTGTTTTTCTTGCTGAATGGTGAAACTCTATAAGGGGCCCTTTTTATACCCTTCATGTTTATGATCTGTTGCCAATTAACATAATTGTTTCTTTGTAGTATCACTTTTCCAAACTTTTTGTTCCCCCATGCAAAATTCTTTGAGACGTGTGGCTGACATCAAATCAAAATTGAACTTTTTGGAACTGGGGTTGTATTTATACTGATTTAATGTGAAATTTAGTGAATGCAATGTCTCTAATAAAAACACAAAAACAGAAAATTCTAAAGTTTGGCTTTCAGTGCAAAATTCGATTAGATCTGCAGTGTATGTAAATATGTTGCAAGGGCGGGTAGGAAGGGCACGAGGTGAGCAAGGATACAGTCAAAGCTTTTACGGCATTTTAAAGTAAAATCAAACAACTTCTTCTTAAGTACAAATCTTGATAATATTAATACGCTGTATTTGTACACACAACATTTAAAAAACAGACTTAAAGTACAAAAAGCAGACTTTTCAGAAAGTAAATTCAAACATCAGCCCAAAGAAAACAGATACAGTTAATGTGATGAAACAGAAATAAAGATTCAAGGTTATGACAAATAAACAACACTAATAAAATCACAAAAGCAAGAGAGCTGAAACAATAAACAGAACCAAAAAAGACAAAAAAAAAAAGAGATGACATCACATACGACACCAATAAAATCTCCTCAGGTAGATCATTTTAGAGTCGAGGGGCTCTAATGGCACAGTGATCACCTTTAGAGTGTGACTGTGAAACAGCTGGAAGGCCCCAGCTGAGTATCTAAATTTGCAAAATGGCCCATGAGGAGTCAACATGCTCTGACATGCAGCCAGACCCTGACGCACTCAGGAAGCATACAGGGAACCAATAGCAAGAGCTGGATTCATGTCAGGCTATCTGCTAAAACTACTAAGAAGCAAGTGCTTAACCAAAACATGTCTTATTTCACACCACATTACAGCCTGCTGGATGTTTTAAACTCATCTTTTTGCAGTAACACCATAACACACGTGAATAATGAGATCACAGAGGAGATAATATCTTATAAAAAAACCAACAGATTGTTATCAGGTTTTAGCTGTGTGGAAATTTTGCGCTGTTTGTTGTAGTTTTTCAGGGTTTTATCAAAGATAATTGGTTACTCTGGTGTGTTGGGTGTTGCACACATAAAATAAAATCTACAGTAAACTGCACACTCCTACTGTAAAGCTTTACTTTACTTCTCTGTAGTATCATAGTTTCAAAGCCCCGTAGCCCAAAGAACTTACCCATGTCACAGATGGTGATGTGAAGAGTCTGCTCTCTTGGATCTTCAGCAGCATGTCCCAGATGATGCATCAGAACCAAACAGGCACATTAGAAAACTTGTGACTGAAGGCGAGGACTTTGTCATGAAGAAGAACTAGAGGACTGGTGGAAAGAAACTTGGGGTGAAGCTAGACAAGAACAAAGAAATGAAAAAGGAGGACGAGAAGACAAAACTGAAGGGTGAGAAGAAATTGGAAAAGTTACTGGGGATTAAAGAAATGCAGGAGATGAAGTAAGAAATTTAACAAAAACTTGATGAAAGGATGAGAAAAGGTTGGATGATAAGAAGAATTAGCAGTATAAAAGTAAAATTAAAAGAAAAAGGAATGACTTGTGTTTTTTCAAGCACAGCAGGCAGAGCTGCAGAACAAAGAAAACAAAGTGCAAAGAAAGGGGGAAAAGGAAAGTCAAAGGGAGGGAACAGGCTGAGCAGACAGGAAAAAAGTAAGAGAGTAAAAAAACAAAAAAGAAAGAGTTAGAATAAGAAAAGGTGACAAAAGAGAAAATAAGGACCAACACGAACAGAGAGAAAAGGAGGAGAAAAGAGTTCAGAAGCCAGAGAAGAGGAGAAGGAGCTCGGCTTCAGGAACTGGATCTGAAGCGTGACTGTGCCAAGTGATGGGGAAGGTAAAGACTTGCCTTTCTGCCTCCCCCCTCTATAGGGGTGTTTGCAGGATTTAAATGGGGGAACAGAGGAGAGCCAATAACAAGGCTGAAGGGATCATGGGAAATCAGAATATTTCATGAGAAATTAAAAAACAGAATTTAGAAAAAACTGGTGCAGAAAACTTAGGACATGTTTTAAAAGACACTGTAAAACCAGGCATTGCCTTAGTTCATGTTGACCAACTGATTTGCGAAAAAAAAATTAGAGCCAGGGCCCCCTCCCCTCCCCGCCTCACTCATCATCGTCTCCATTGTTCCCTTTCTCTGCCCACCTCCTCCTTTATCTCAGCCCTCTGTTGACCATCCATCACCAATCATTAAAAACTAAACATCATCAGGTTTGTTTCTGCATGATGTCGTTACTCTGAATAAACACAACAGGTTAAACCCCACAGCAGACCGACTGCATCTCATTGTTGAGCTGGTGCTTATCTCACCAATTTCAGAAATGCCTGCTGTTTGTGTTATTGATATTAATGCATTCCCAGGCTTTTAATCTCCAAGCTAAGTGCCAAACTTAACTTCAGTCACTCGTGCAGGTGGGAAGAATCATTTGTATGGAGGGCCGTGAAAGGTCCTAAGACTGAAGAGGCTGTCTACAAAACTTTGAAAGGCAGTTTAAACACCACAGCCCACCCAAGTATTGTTCCTGACCATGAGAAGTAATAAAGCATAATGTATATACATAATACAGAGGCAGAACAGTATGCATCTTCTACATATATGTGATATCAAACTTATAATCAAAGCAGTAAGAGCAACAGAGAAGAGACAACTTGCCCAGGAAAACCACTTTATTTCATTCTCACCCCCAACTTCCATAACTTACACGCATTAAAGGTTTCACCATTTAATAATAGTCCTCAAGTGTAAATCAATGCATTCTTAGAGGAAAATAAGCCACTATGAACTGTAGACAGTGTTGCCGCATGCTGCAGTGAGCAGCAGCTCCAGCAGAGAGCGTCTGTGCAGTCACCTGGCGGAAAGAAAATAGAGCCACCGTGGCGCTCTGTGAGACGGCCGAGGACCGACTCCTCCAAAGAGAAGGCACGCATTTCCAAAAACAGTTGGCATTTAATACACTGTCTACACAGAGTTTCCTGATGAGTTACAGTCAGAGCTCGTCTGGATAAAAATGACTAGAAAATGGC